CAGCTTTGATCTAACTCTATGAACAAATACAAAAAAAAGACCAAATGTAAAAGAAAAATATCAGATGGTTTCATTTATAGGAGGAATCTAGGGGAATTACATGAAGGACCAGGAAAAAAAATTATAAAATAAATAATTTTTTTAAAAAAGAACTCTTTTTAAAAAAAATTAGAAAGTATCATACATTAAATTTCCATAGATGTGGCCATCAAGTCAGGAACAGGAAACCAGAGTAAGTTTATCCTTTGAAAGTATACACTACTACAAATATTGACAAGACATGTAACCACCACAATCAAGACAGAGAATATATCTATCACTTCGGAAGTTTCTGTCCCTTTGCCATTAGTCTTCTCTCCCAAACCTGCCCCAGGCAGCCGCTGACCTCCTTTCTGCCCTTTGTATTTTGTTGACTTTAGACTTGGATACAAAGTGAAGCTGCAGCTTAGGTGAGGGCCAATTTATCTACATTGTCTGCCTCTTAATAGCACTGATCCTTTGCCCAACTTCTGGGAAAGACCCTTGGCCTTGTCGAGATTTAAAGAAGATAAGATTCAAGGCAGATACTACTGGGATTTACTCCACTCCTTCAGGATGCCTGGGCAGTCCTGGACAGACCTCAGTTGAAGCAGGATCAGAGATGCTACTCCGGAAACCTGTTCACAGTTGTGTAGAACGAAGGTTTGAGACTGATGCAGCAGATACGGGGACTTTGGCATAAGGGCAGGAGCATTAGGTCTGAAGAGTGAGTGGTCAGGGGCTCTCTCTTGCATCTGTGCTGTGAGGCCCCTGGCCCTGAGCTGGACCGGTCCTCTCTCTGCACTTTCGCACCTCTAATCTCACACTTGGGTTTCTCCGCTGTAAATTCAAAATGCTGTTTCTCTTAAGCAGTTACTTCTTGGGAGAAAATCTCTCTTTCGGTGTCAGAGGAACTCAATCTCAGGCGAGGCAAATGCAGTGGAAATGCTGTCGATCAAGGACAATCCCCATCGGCCACCTGCTACATCACCGTGTGCTTTAGAACACCAGTTTGTGAATTTATGGGGAATGAAATCTGCATCATCCTGATCTGTGCATCTGAAGGCCTGTTGCAGAGCACCCGAGTGCGAGTGCGTTGAAAGGGCTCACTAACTTCATTTTCACTTCGTCAGCAGCAGAGTAAGGATTCAATAGAGGGCATATTTTTTGTTTGGTCTGTAGTAATAAGAACAGTTAAGAGTCTTTTGTAGACTTGGTGGAGTGCCAAACTCAGCTTCAGTCTCATTTATTTTTCAATTCACACTTTCACCTTCAAAGAAATCCGTTTGAGCATAATGAGTTTGAATTAATTCTATTACACAATAAATAACTGTAATGCTGAAATAAACCACTAGATGGCATCTTGAAAAGACAGCCCGCGGGTTGTTCTGCAATTTACTCTGTATTAAGACGTCCCTCCTACCCATATAGATATATACCTCCAATTCCTTTTTTTATTTTTTTTAAAGATTTAATTTATTTGTGCATACAGAACTGGGGTACAGGCCAGAGGCTCAGGGGCGGTAAGAGGCTTCACCAGAGACAGAGTGGGGAACAGAACAGGCAGATGGATGAAGTACACTGCTGAGGGGAGCAGCGGGCGGGTCAGGAGAGGTTTGCCACACCATGTGGTCACCTCCGGGGCAGGCGGTAATTGAACTCATGCGGAAGCGGCTTTAGATTCTCAGTGCTGTGCTTTAACCCGCTGAGCCACCAGGGAGGGCCCCCTTTTTTTTTTTAACAGTTGGAAAGGAATTATTTGATTTTTTTGTTCCCATGAATATGGTTGAAATATTGTTTTGTGGACATCTGTACTTTATAAGTACAATTTCATATTATAGTTATGCCATTTTAGATTTCTAAAACATTCTTGATACTAAATGCAATTTTAATTTTGATTAAAAAATATAGATTGAACATGATGGTTGAGCACATAATTGTCACTCCATGAACACTTAAGGGATAATTAGTTGTTGCATTTGAATATATGAGGAACAAAACTGAGACCTTTACATGGATTACCTCATCTCTACAGGAACTCCATGAAGTATGGAAAATAAAAATTTTTCCATTTTACATATGTAAAAAATTATGATGCAGAGAGGGTAACTGCCAAAGTAGCAATAGTTACTTGACCATATTTAAGGTAATCATTCTTACAGCAACTGCATAATACTGTTAGGACTGAGTATATGAAGTTAGCATTTTGTGCCTGCCAATTTTATATATTGGATTTTAGCAGATTTCAATTTGATAAATTAACTATTTTTCCTCCTGAAAATAAGCAAGTTTATTTGTATTGGAACAGCTTTGATCTAACTCTATGAACAAATACAAAAAAAAGACCAAATGTAAAAGAAAAATATCAGATGGTTTCATTTATAGGAGGAATCTAGGGGACCAAATAAGGATTCAAGGGAAAAATAATAATAGGAAAAAAGTTGGCAGGCAAGTATAAATCAGAGACATTCTGCAGGGGAGGTGGAGGGAGAGGGATCAGAACAGGGGAGAACATAAGAGACTAAGGTGATGGTGCACAGGAGAATTAGCCATGGGGATTCTCTGGGGATTACACCTGAGCGGAGAAAGCCACTATTGTTACAAACGTGAACAATGATGTAAAATATATATATTTAAAAAATAAACATAAAAATATATAATTTATATTTTTGTCCTCTAATCTTTAACCAACTTACTGATATAAAATTTCACCCATTTACAATGTTCAATTCAATGGCTTTATACAGATTTTCCTTGACATATGATGTGGTTACCTCTAGGTTGAAAATGACAGGGAGTTGCCACTACCCAGCATCAAGCAAGAGTGTCATGCTGTATTTTGCACTGACAGCTTATTGCTATCACACCAAGAGGAAAAATTACAAGTTGAATCATCTTAAGTCAGGGCCACTTGTATTGACAAAGTTCACAATACCCACCTCATCTAATTTCAGAATATTTTCATTAGCTCCCAAATAACTTGTATCATTAGTAGTTACCAACTCTACCTATCCCTTCCACTCTTATTCCCTAGCCCTACATACATAAATCAACTTTTACTTTATAGATTTGTCTCTTCGGGACATTCCCAGTAAATAGGATCACACCATTTGTGGTCTTTGTGATGGGCTTCTTTCATTAGCTCAGTTTTTCAATGTTCATGTTGGAGCAAGTGTTAGCACTTCATTTCTTTGCCAAGTAATACTTCCTTGTATGAATTTATCACACTTTCAAAGTCACTTATAGAATGATGTTTGGGTTGTTTCTACTTTTGGCTCTTATAACTACTGTTATAACAGACATGTATGACTTTTTGTGTTGACATCTTTTTATTTCTTTTGGGTCTATACTTAACAATGAAATTTTAAGGTCATATACTGACTCTGTATTTGACTTTTAAGTTACTGCCAGAATGTTTTCCATAGAAAACATCACTTTACCACTAATAATGTGCAAATTTTTCCACATTCTTCCCACACCTTATTTCCTGTCTGACTGTAGTCATCTGAGTGATTGTGAAGTGGTAGTTTTCTAAGTCTTTTTATTATATACTTTTTTAAGCAAATGATTCCAAAATAAAATAAAATTTTTTACTTAGATGACTATGGTAAAACCTTAAATAAAAGGTAAAATATGTTCATTATTCCTTTTGTGAAAATATTAATAGTTTAAGTTCTAGGAATTATTTTACTTCTAATATCACTTAGCACAAATGACAAAGGCATTATTACCATTGCTTCTGCTGATATTGGAGAGGATGACATCACACAGATTGGTTCTGAAGATTAGAAATGAAGTAGACAGCATTCCCGACTATGGTAGGTACTTAGGAAGTACTCAACACATGGATTCTTATTTTCATTTCAAATCAAGAAAATAGTTACAGGGGCCTTCCTGGTGGCATAAGGGG